TGAGAGGAAAACAGTCTGGCCTAGAGGAGCTGCCCAGTGGAGACCTGGGGCTGCTGTGGTTTAGGCGGCCAGGCCAGGGGTGGCGCCAGGGCCATGCGGACTGGGGCAGACATGCCTCCAAGAGCCCCAGATAGGAGCCATTAATGGTTCTGAGTGGTTTCCTGGCATGGGGACCTGGTGGCCGCATGGCAGAGCGGGCCGTGGAGGGGCCGCGGGCTTGGGGCTCTGGCCACCTTGCTTGCTCCGCTCTGCTCTGGCTCCCCTCCGCCTCCCTACGGTTGCCAGTAAGAGGGTGAACCGGAGATTCCTTGGGAATGGGCTGTGCCAGGTTTCTGGAGTGCTCGCTGACGGAGTGGGTGCATCCCGGCCAGACTCTGGGCTGGAAGAGAGCGTGGGATTGAGGGGGCCGGGAAGGAAAAGTCAGCAGCCTGGGCAGGTGGCTAGGCCGCCCCTGAGGGGCTTTGCCAAGCCGGTTTGCCCCTGGCTCCTCTGTCGGGAGGAGTGCATGAAGCTGCAGAGAACGTAGGCGGTCTTAGGCACAGGGTCATTGGCGGGGTTGGCCAGGAGGGAGCCGTGCCTGGGAAGGCCCCGTGCTCTGGGGCGACCCCGAGGCACTGCCCCTTTACCTGAGAGCCTCTGGCTTCCCAACTGAACAGGGAACTAATCCTGGCCCCCTACAGCCCAGGGTGTCAGAGAATGAAGAGAGGGCGGCCAGGGACGGGAGGGGCGGGTATGATCCACATCCAGAGCCCTCCGCCGGCTCTGAGAGCAAGGGCCGGGGTGATGTGCAGGCTGCGAGCCCGCACAAGGGTCTAGTCCCTGTCCCTATAGGGGACACGCCCTCCCTTGTGACGGACACGGCCGAGTCCTGGACAGCATGTTTACGCAGTGGGCTCCATGTATCAGCTCTGGGCCGAGCCAGCCTTTTTAAAATATTGGCCCCAACATTTATCAGCTGTGACTTGACTTCTTGGTGCCTCAGTTCCCTATCTGTAGAGTGCAGATGATAAACCAACCTCCAGAGTGACCCTGAGGTTAACTGTGAGGAGTGCTGAGTACAAATGGGAAGCACTCAGTAAATGCTGGTTGGCTATTTCTGTTAAACTGAGAGCTGAGCGCACAGTACTTGGTGACTCAGTACCTTTTGTGGAACAGCCTTTCAGAGCCAGCAAAGAAATGCCTGCTTTCTCAATCTGGGGAGGGGGCCGTCCCCCAGGGGGTGTCACTGCTGGTGTCTGCCATCCCCAGGTTATCTCCTGGGCTGGGTCTCCGGGGAAGGCTGGGTAGCACTGCCCCCCTGCGGTAGGCAAGGGTAACTTCAGGGCCATGTGGGCGGCCGTGGTCCGAGGAGGCCTGACCCCCCACCCCCCACCCCCGCCATCTTGTCTCACCCCACAGATCTACCGGAGGTGCTGGCTGGTGTTCCGGAAATCCTCCAGCAAGGGGCCCCAGCGGCTGGAGAAGTATCCGGATGAGAAGTCAGTGTGCCTCCGAGGCTGCCCCAAGGTTAGGGGGGCCTGGGCCCTAGCTCCCCGTCTGTAGCAGTGATGAATTGCTGAGTCCTGAGGTCCGCGAGCACCCTCCTGGGGGTGGCACAACTGGGATGGGGGGGATGTAGAGGGTGGCTCTCCAGCCTGGCTCAGTCCTTTGTGGACGCTGTCCCAGGTGACCGAGATCAGCAATGTCAAGTGTGTCACGCGGCTCCCCAAGGAGACCAAGAGGCAGGCGGTGGCCATCATATTCACTGACGACTCGGCGCGTACCTTCACCTGCGACTCAGGTGAGGAGCTGGGGCTGCGGGCTTCCGTCCAGCCTTCCCCGGGGCCAGTCATGGTCCAGTCGGGAGGAAGCAGAGCAGGACCAGCCCTGGCTGGGTATGATGAGTGGGGGTGAAAGTAGGGGGCGGCCTTTGAGGGAGCAGGTCGCCAGGATGAGGTGGAACAGGCAGGCAGAAGCCACTGGCCTTGCCCTCCCTGCCCTGCATGGTGGGAATACTTCAAGCTGAGGCAGATGGGGTGGGCTGCTGGGGGACCCTGGGCTGGCACGAGCTACCCCTTTCTCTAGAGCTGGAGGCAGAGGAATGGTACAAGACGCTGTCCGTGGAGTGTCTGGGTTCGCGACTCAACGATATCAGTTTGGGCGAGCCGGACCTCCTGGCCCCGGGGGTGCAGTGTGAGCAGACAGGTGAGGCCTGGCGCTGGCAGGGGGCAGCGGCGGGGGGGGGGGGGGGGTCCTCCCCTGGGGAGGCTCCAGGCCTGCTCCTCTCCCTCTGCAGACCGCTTCAACGTCTTCCTGCTGCCCTGCCCCAACCTGGACGTGTACGGCGAGTGCAAGCTGCAGATCACCCACGAGAACATCTACCTCTGGGACGTACACAACCCCCGCGCCAAGCTCGTCTCGTGGCCCCTGTGCTCACTGCGTCGCTACGGCCGGGACGCCACGCGCTTCACCTTCGAGGCTGGCCGGTAGGACCCTCTCGCCTCCCTGCCCTGACCCACCGTGGTCACGCACAGTGCTGGGAGCTTTAGTTATCTATCAGCACAGAAAACCAAAAGGGAATGTAAGATTCCCATTTTACGGATGAACACGTCAAGGTTCACGCAGGCAGGTAGGGCGCAGCTGTTTACCAAAGTCAAGCTGCTTGGGCTCAAGTCAGAGCGGGTGCCGGGGCTTACAGCTGTGTCTGTGGGCAGGGGCTTCGTTTCTTCACTGCCGAATAGGGCATCAGAAAAGCACACCCCCTCGTAGCATTACAGTGAGGACCGGGCAACCTATAGCTTGAACTCCGCAGCCAGCGGGCCTCGACGTACATGCTGCGGAATCCTCTGTATGACCCGGGTTTGCTTACTGACTGCCTGCGTGCCTGTTTCCTCATCTGCAAACTGGTTCGAGAAAGCTCAGACGGAGGAAGGCTGACGGGTGCGCAGACCAGAGGGGCGAGAAAGACCGAGTGGGCGGGTTCTTGTCAAACACTGAACCCACCTGGTACCCACAAACGGCCCGGCATGTCTGGGCTGTGCGGACGGCCCTCCGGCCGCCAGCCCTGCCTGTTCCCCAGAGGGCCCGGGGTGCGGCCAGCGTGTGGTACGGCCCCCACCACGCCGCCCTCTGTGCCTCTCGCATCCCTAGGATGTGCGATGCTGGGGAAGGGCTCTACACCTTCCAGACCCAGGAAGGGGAACAGATTTACCAGCGGGTCCACAGTGCCACCCTGGCCATCGCTGAGCAGCACAAGCGCGTGCTGCTGGAGATGGAGAAGAACGTGCGGGTGAGGCTCTGGGCATCAGCCAGTCCGGGGAACCAGGGAAGCCAGGGGGGGCAGGCCGTAGGGCCGACGGCTGGGAGGCAGCCACGGCCCCCAGAGCTGAAGGGAGGGCCTCTGCCCCGCAGCTGCTGAACCAGGGCACAGAACATTACTCGTACCCCTGCACGCCCACCGCCATGCTGCCCCGAAGCGCCTACTGGCACCACATCACGGGCTCCCAGAACATGGCCGAGGCCTCCAGCTACACTGGTGAGTCCCCGCCGTGCCCCCCCCCCCCCCCGCTCCCCTGCCACGGGGCTGGGGAGGACGAGGCCTTCCGCACAGGGCTCCTCGGACCTGGCCCTGAGGCCTGAGCCTGCCTCTGTGTCCACAGGTGAGGGGTACGGGGCAGCCCAGGCCAGCTCCGAAACGGACCTCCTCAACCGATTCATCCTGCTAAAGCCAAAGCCCAGCCAGGGGGACAGCAGCGAGGCCAAGACCCCAGCCCAGTGACGGCAGGGCCGGTGCACCGCAGGACGGCCCGCGGCATACCGTGGACAGCCACTGGGGGCTGCCGGCCCAGAGACACGGAGCAAGCTGTCCCTTCCCTGCCCCCAGGGGTGAGCCTGGACCAAGGCACAGGGCTGGCCAGAGCACCAGAGCATGTGTGAGGGCTGGAGCTCCTGTGGGACTGTATACTGTTAAGGATTTTAATATATATGGCTTATGACATATTCTATATTATTGAGATTTTCTCCCTCCCCACCACATACACATTTTTTAATCCCATGACCAGGTCCTAGTCAAGGCTGTTTTTGAACGTGAGGGCAGCAGTCCTGTCCTCTGTGGGACAGCCCTCCCGCTGCCGGGGCCAGAGGAGGGGACAGCTCGAGGCTGGTGCTGGGACTGCTGGCTCTCCCCGAGCACCCCAGGGGCTAGGACAGCAGGTGGCTTCTCTGTTCCTCTGGGCCGCATGTGGCACGGGAAGGATCAGCTTCCACGGTGCCACTTCGCAGCCTTGCACTTGAGAGCTTTGAGCAGAGATGACAGCTGGTTGACACCTCAGGTGAAAATCTGGTTTTAAAATGTAATTTTTGCCTAGGCTCCTTCCCGCTTCATAGGCTGAGAAGATCCCCCAGGGCCAGGGGTGCTGGTTCCCTCAGCCAGACGGAGGGTGGCCAGTCCCGAGCTCTTCCCTGCCAGAGGGCAGGCTGCAGCAGGACTGCTGTGGGGAGCACCCCCCGCTGCCCGCCCCCCCCCCCCCACTGACCGAGGGTAGGTGATGTCCCAGCAGAGGGAGCCCCCCTCTGGCCAGCCAAAAGCACTCAGAAACCGAGCCCTTCCCATTTCCTCTTCCCCACATGGTGCTGAGGCTCCCTGCTGAAATGCAATTAAAAGCAATTGATTTTCTAGTGCTGGTATTTATTGACTACCTTGCAGAAGGGCTATCTTTCTATTCCCATCAAACCTTGGGTTGCTTGTGTGGGTTTTTTTTAATACTTTAGGGTTCTGAGTTATGGGAACAGACCTTGTTGTAAATAACCACTATTCAAGTTGTGACAGGAGGATCCAGCCAGAGGCCCCTCCCAGAGAGCCCTGGATCCGGGGAGGGGGCCACAGCCAGCTCGGCTCCAAACCTGACCCAGGGAATGACCACCCAGAGGAATAAACTAGACTGAAGATGGGAACCTGGGGCCAAAGGCCTTGGAGAGCGAGGCAGGGCTGGCTCAAGTTAGTGGCACGATGACGCATGAAGGAGATTATGTTGTGCTCTTTATTGCCAAAAATAAAAACTTTTAAAAAGACAACTCCTGTTAGTAAATATCCCTTCCTTTCTGCACCAGCTCTCGGGCTTTCTCCTGGCTTACGGCTTACTCCTACCAGACTGCCTAGTCAACTGCTTTGGGCATACTCTACCTCTAGGGGAAAGGGGTCAAGGCCAGACCTTAAGGCCCTTGCTCCCCAGCCCCCATCTTAATCAGGCCACTGGCAGTGAAGTTTGAAAAACGGGGTTTGGGCACCTGGGTGGCTCAGTTAAGCATCTGCCTTCGGCTCAGGTCATGGTCCCAGGGTCCTGGGATCGAGCCCACATCGGGCTCCCTGCTCCGTGGAGAGCCTGCATCTCCCTCTCCTGCTCCCCCTGCTTGTGTTCCCTCTCTCGCTGTGTCCCTGTCAAATAAAATCTTTAAAAAAAAAAAAAAAAAAAAGGAAAACAGGGTTTATCTGGGGTGGGGGGCAGCCCGTATCTAACACTATTCTCTAAGGGTTCTCAACTTAGGGACACTCGGGGATTTAAGTGCCAGTAGGCTGGCCCTGGGCAGGGGCTGGAAGGGTTCATAGGCAACCAGAATGAGGGTTCTAGTACTCACCAGAAGCCCAAGGTACAACTGTGAGAACAACTTTTAGACAAAGTCTGAGACCTGAAATGACCAGCAGAGGAGAGTTCGGCTCTGCAGTTCTCACCCTGCCCAGGCACATCAGGAAATGGGCTGGAAGGGAGGTTCTGGGGCTGCTACTGGCAATCGGGGCAGGGCCAGGGATCCTAGATGTCTAGTAAAAAACTGTCCTGCCCTCAAATACCAGTGGCACCCCTGGCCATCTGTCTGCAACAGAGCGAGGCTGGAAGGGGACTCGTCTTCCCCTTGGCTACCTTCCTAGGGGGTACTGATGGCTTGCCAAGAAGCCTGAGCAACAGCTATCCAGACCCAAAAGCTACAAGAGGCTCTGGAGAGACCAGAGAGCCAGCTGCTGGCCTAGACTCCCCCCACCCCTTTTCTGCCAAAACAGGTGAGCTGCTGCTAGTTTATGGTTAGGACATCACTCTGGATCTCGTGGCTTAACTGGGTCTGTAAATCACTCAGCTTCTTCTTCAATCCAGAGAGGGCTGAGAGGACAATTGTTTCAGGACGCAGAGAGCCACAGGACTCCACGTTGTAGTAAAACCTAAGAGGAAGAGTCGGGTGAGCCCTCCACGAGGCAGGCTCACTAGTCCGAGCTTCAGCCCTGGATCATGCGCTCTCCCTTCTGGGTCCTGACTCCCTTCCCACCTGGAACTCAGCTAACAGCGGTCCTGCTGCACATTACAGGACTTCAAGGCCACAGCCACCTCAAAAAGCTTCATGTTCACCATCAGAAGACAGGTCCGTTTCTGGCTCTGGCCTGGTCCCCCCCTTCCCTGGGGTTGAATTATCAAGAGTAGGAGCAGAGTGGCTAACTGGAGGGCTCCTCTGTGCCCCAATAACTAGGGGAGCATAATATGCCCTCGGACATGCACGTGGCACGGGCTCAACTGTTCTCCATCCTTCCTGAGCTCGCGGGCACCGGGACTAGAGGGAAGGGTCTCCCCAACTCAGAGCCCGCACCAAAACCCTATGTTCTTCCACGCTTCACCTTCAGGTGCCGGACGAGGGTCTCACCTCTCTGGCTTGCCGTTGGGGTCGTAGGGAGCTTGGGACTCATCTTCATCCAGCTCGGAGTACTCGCTCTTTGGCCTGAGGTCAAATACAGGTCAGCACAGGCAGCTTCTGCTGCTGTCCGCAGGGAGCCTACCCCCACCCCGCTCCCTCAGAGCCCTGTCCACATCAACCCACCCTAAAGGCCTGCCTTTACTCCGACGAGAACGTACCATTCCTCGGGCTTGGGGTACACTGTGTGTCTCAGGGCATTGTCAGGATCATATTCAAAAGCCACTCCTGCAGTAGGGTTCCACTTGGCATGCTCCTTGCCAAAGCCCTTTTTGGCATAGGCTCGAAGTCTTAGCTCCTGGCCTTTCCTCAGCTTGACGATGAGGATGTCTGCAGGGAGAGGTTTAAGGCCGTCAAGGGGCGGTAGAGACACGGACCCCTGAATTTTGACCTGGAAGGCCCCTGGAGGCCCACACAATCTGGACAAACAGTTCAAAGGTCAGCTGACAAGGAGAGCAGGCGGCACGAGAGGCTGTGCTGGGTCTCGGCCTCCGTGCTGGCCTGCAAAATGACAGGGCGGGTACACATGCACACACGTTCTCCAGCCCCTTACCGTCCTGTTCCACGTAGTCATTGGGGTCATTATCTCGGTTCCGGGAGGTCACCTGCAGGGAGCCCAAACAGAGGCATGTATGAGCTGTTGGTCTCCCCAGTCACCTCTTCCAGCAACTATGTTCCAGCACCTGCCAAACCTGGGAATGAGGGGAGAGAAGTGCCTCCTAGAACCTCATGGGGACCGCCTTCTCAGTCAAAACAGTACCATGGCCTTTAAAAGGGTCCTTGGGTGGCAGAGGACGGGCACACAGCACCAACCGTGTTCCTGTCCACCCTGGCTACTGTCCAGGATTATTAGCACTTTTTAGGCACCAGAGGAAGGCAGAGGGTAACGCAAGGAATATCCGCATCTTGTAACAAACCACCTGAGTCTGGCCCACTTTGAGAGAAAAGGAGGAAGACGTGGTGAGACACTGACTGGAATGACCCGGGGGCTGTTGGAGATGAGGTCTCGAGACGTGACGTGTCGGGTTTGGTCTTCATTACAGCGCACGTCAAGGGTGAACTCCACCGAGCACTCGGGGCAGAACTCCTCACACGTGCAGTCCTGACAGAGGAAGAGAAGCAAGAATGAGTCCACGGAGAGATGGCAAATGCTGAGCTCCCTGTTTCTCATACCCCGTTCCTTCCATTTTTCCAGCTGTAAAACAGCCGGCCACAGGCTCTAGGCACTGGGGGGCCGTGTCCATCTGGTACACCGTTCTCACGGGCTGCCCAGTGCACGCACTTCCCAGTTTAGAGACAACCTATACCCACTGGCCTCCATGTTTTCCTTCCACCTCCGCCAGCTGCCAGACCACACTCCAGGGATACGCTGTGCTAACATCCCACCTTGGCCCTCGGGGTGCTCTTCTGCCAAGAACCAAGGTGTTAAGTAAGAGAATGATGCTTTCACGCTTTATAGGGCAGCTTCCCCTGAACTAAGTGGACTAGCTTGGGAAGGTCACCATCGTTTAAAATAAAAAATGATCCAGGGCACAATACAAAAAAGTACCTTTCAAGTTCTAGACTACTTACCTTTTCTTAAAAACAAAATCTTTCCATTATGGAAAATTTCATATATTCACAAGAGTAGAACAAGTATAAGAGGCTGCTACCATGTAACCATCACTCAGCTTCAATAATCATCAATAGTTCTTTAAGCAACTATTGCTGGAAACAACCCATGCCTCTGTTAGGGACCATCTGCTACAGTGTAACTTCAGGCAAGAAGAGTTACTGGAATGTAACCAAGCAAACTGTTCTCCCCCTCACACCAGCAGGAAAATCTAACCTGCTTCTGATGTTTTTGAGATGATGAGGAAGAACAAGGGGCCACACCTGGATAGTCTGCAGTCATACACAGGTGAGGCAGGAAGGTAACCTAGAGCTTTAGCAGAAATATGAAATGGAAGGGGGCGCCTGGCTGGCTCAGTCCGTGAAGCATGCGACTCTTGATTTTGGGGTCGTAAGTTCGAGATCCACCATCGGGTGTAAAAATAACTTAAAAAAACCTAAAAATCCAAAATAAAAAAGCAAGACACATCAATATTCTGTCTGCAAGAGACTCATTTCAGACCCAAAGACACCTCCAGATTTAAAGTGAGGGGGTGGAAAATCATTTATCATGCTAATGGACATCAGAAGAAAGCTGGGCGTATCAGACAAATTAGATTTATTATTATTATTTTTTAAGATTTATTTGAGAGAGAGACAGCGAGACACAGCAGGAGCTGGGAGGACAGGGAGAGGCAGGCTCCCTGCTGAGCAGGAAGCCCGATGTGGGGCTCGATCCCAGCCTGGGATCATGACCTGAGCTGAAGGCAGACATTTAACTGACTGAGCCACCCAGGTGCCCCCAAATTAGATTTTATTTATTTTTAAGATTTTATTTATTTGACAGAGAGAGACACAGCAAGAGATGGAACATAAGCAGGGGGAGTGAGAGAGGGAGAAGCAGGCTTCCCGTGGAGCACGGAGCCCGATGTGGGGCTCGATCCCAGGATCCTGGGATCATCACCTAAGCTGAAGGCAGATGCTTAACGACTCAGCCATCCAGGTGCCCCCTCAAATTAGACTTTAAACCAAAGACTCTAATAAGAGATGAGGAAGGACACTGTAGCACACTTAAAGGGTCTATCCAACAAGATCATCTAACAATTATAAATATTTATGCCAACATGGGAGCAGCCAATTATATAAGCCAAGTAATAACAAAATCAAAGAAACACATCAACAATAATACAATAGTAGGAGACTTTAACACCCCCCACCGAAATGGACAGATCACCTAAGCAAAAGATCAACAAGGAAATAAGGGCTTTAAATGACACACTGGACCAGATGGACTTCACAGATATACTCAGAACATTCCATCCCAAAGCAACAGAATACACATTCTTCTCTAGTGCACATGGAACATTCTCCAGAATAGATCACATTCTGGGTCACAAATCAGGTGTCAACTGGTACCAAAAGATTGGGATCATTCCCTGCAAATTTTCAGACCACAATGCTATGAAACTGGAACTCAATCACAAGAGGGAAGTTGGAAAGGACTTAAATACATGGAGGCTAAAGAGCATCCTACTAAAGAATGAATGGATCAACCAGGAAATTAAAGAAGAATTAAAAAAATTCATGGAAACGGGGCACCTGGGTGGCTCAGATGGTTAAATGTCTGCCTTCGGCTCGGGTCATGATCCTAGGGTCCTGGGATCAAGCCCTGTGTTGGGCTCCCTGCTTGGCAGGGAGCCTGCTTCTCCCTCCCTCCACTGCATGTGCTCTCTTGCTCTGTCAAATAAAATCTTTAAAAAAAAAATTCATGGAAACAAATGAAAACAGAACTGTTCAAAAGGTGGTCTTAAGAGGAAAGTATATAGCAATACAAGCCTTTCTCAAGAAACAAGAAAGTTCTCAACTACACAACCTAACCTTACACCTAAAAGAGCAGGAAAAAGGACAACAAATAAAGCCTAAACCCAGCAGAAGAGAAATGATAAAGATTAGAGCAGAAATTAATGAAAGAGAAACCAAAAGAACAGTAGAAGAGATCAACGAGACTAGGAGCTGGTTCTTTCAAAGAATAAGACTGGTAAACCCGTGGCCAGACTTATCAAAAAGAGAAAGGACTCAAATAAATAAAATCATGAATGAAAGAGGAGAGATCACAACACCAAATACAATTATGAGACATATTATGAGCAACTATATGCCAACAAATTAGACAATCTGGAAGAAATGGATGCATTCCTAGAGACATATAAACTACCAAAACTGAACCAGGAAGAAATAGAAAACCTGAACAGACCCATAACCAGCAAGGAAATTGAAGCAGTAATCAAAAATCTCCCAACAAATAAGAGCCCAGGGCCAGATGGCTTCCCAGGAGAATTCTACCAAACATTTAAAGAAGAATTAATACATATTCTTCTGAAACTGTTCCAAAAAATAAAAATGGAAGGAAAACTTCCAAACTAATTTTATGAGGCCAGTATTACCTTGATCCCAAAACCAAAGACCCCACCAAAAAGGAGAATTACAGACCAATATCCCCGATGAACATGGATGCAAAAATTCTCACCAAAATACAACAGGATCCAACAGTACAATAAAAGGATTATTCACCACGACCAAGTGGGATTTATTCCTGGGCTGCAAGGGTGATTCAACATCCACAAATCAATGTAATACACTACATTAATAAAAGAAAGGACAAGAACCTTATGATCCTCTCAATAGATGCAGAAAAAGCATTTGACAAAGTACAGCATCCTTTCTTAATTAAAACTCTTCACAGTGTAGGGATAGAAGTTACATACCTCAATGTCATAAAAGCCACCCATGAAAAACCCACAGCGAGTATCATTCTCAATGGGAAAAAACTGAGAGCTTTCCCCCAAGGTCAGGAACGCGGCAAGGATGTCCACTATCACCACTGCTATTCAACATAGTATTAGAAGTCCTAGCCACAGCAATCAGACAACAAAAAGAAATAAAAGGCATCCGAATCAGCAAAGTCGTCACTCACTCACTCTTTGCAGCTGATATACTTTATGTGGAAAACCCAAAAGACTCCACCCCAAAACTGCTAAAACTCATACAGGAATTCAGTAAAGTGGCAAGATATAAAAATCAATGCACAGAAATCAGTTGCACTTCTATACACCAATAACAAGACAGAAAAAAGAAATTAAGGAGTCAATTCCATTTACAACTGCACCCAAAACCGTAAGATACCTAGGAATAAATCTAACCAAAGAGGCGAAGAATCTGTACTCAGAAAATTTTAGAATACTCATGAAAGAAATTGAGGGGGCGCATGGGTGGCTCGGTTAAGCGACTGCCTTCGGCTCAGGTCATGATCCTGGAGTCCCGGGATCGAGTCCCACATCGGGCTCCCTGCTCAGCAGGGAGTCTGCTTCTCCCTCTGACCCTCCCCCCATCTCATGTGCTCTCTCTCTCTCTCAAATAAATAAAATCTTTAAAAAAAAAAAAAAAAAAAAAAGACAGTATGGTACTGGCACAAAAACAGACACATAGATCAATGGAACAGAAGAGAGCCCAGAAATGGACCCTCAACTCTACGGTCAACTAATCTTCAACAAAGCAGGAAAGAATATCCAATGGAAAACAGTGTCTTCAACAAATGGTGTTGGGAAAATTGGACAGCCACATGCAGAACAATGAAAGTGGACCATTGCCTTACACCACACACAAAAATAGACTCAAAATGGATGAAAGACCTAAATGTGAGACAGGAATCCATCAAAATCCTTGAGGAGAACATAGCAGCAACCTCTTCGACCTTGGATGCAGCAACTTCTTCCTAGACAGATCGCCAAAGGCAAGAGGAGCAAGGGCAAAAATGAACTATTGGGAATGCATCAAGATAAAAAGCTTTCGCACAGCAAAGGAAACAGTCAACAAAACCAAAAGACAACCGACAGAATAGGAGAAGATATTTGCAAATGACATATCAGATAAAGGGCTAATATCCAAAATCTATAAAGAACTTATCAAACTCAACACCCAAGGAATAATCCAATCAAGAAATAGAAGACATCAACAGACAATTCTGCAAAGAAAACATCCGAATGGCCAACAGACACATGAAAAAGTGCTCAACATCACTCAGCATCAGGGATACAAATCAAAACCACAATGAGATACCACCTCACACCAGTAAGAATGGCTAAAATTAACAAGTCAGGAAACAACAGATGTTGGCAAGGATGCGGAGAAAGGGGAACCCTCCTACACTGTTGGTGGGAATGCAAGCTGGGGCAGCCACTCTGGAAAACAGTATGGAGATTCCTCAAAAAGGTTGAAAATAGAGCTACCCTATGACCCAGCAATTGCACTACTGGGTATTTACCCTAAAGATACAAATGTAGTGATCTGAAAGAGCACCTGCACCCCAAGGTTTTTGTTTTTCCATCCCAAGGTTTACAGCAGCAATGTTCACAATAGCCAATCTATGGAAAGAGCCCAGATGTCCAATGACAGATGAATGGATGAAGATGTGGTGTATATATACACAACGGATTATGCAGCCATCAAAAAATGGAATCTTGCCAATTGCAACAACGACGTGGACAGAACTAGAGGAGGGTATCATGCTAAGCGAAATAAGTCCATCCGAGAAAGACAAGTATCATATGATCTCACTGATACGTGGAATTTGAGAAACAAGGCAGAGGGTCATAGAGGAAAAGAGGAAAGAAGGAAACAAAATGAAACCAGAGAAGGAGACAAACCATAAGAGACCCTTAATCTCAGGAAACAAACTGAGGGTTGCTGGAGTGGAGGGGGGTGGGAAGGATGGGGTGGCTGGGTGATGGACATTGGGGAGGGTATGTGTTGTGGTGAGCGCTGTGTATTGTGTAAGACTGATGAATCACAGACCTGTATACCTGAAACAAATACATTATATGTTAACAAACCCAAAACTTAAAAATATGAAATGGAAAAATCAAAATGTCATGAAAAATAAAAATATGAAATGGTACACAACCTTAAAAAAATGTATTTAACGAAAGGAGAGGAATCGGAAATTAAGAGACTAAAGAGGTATAACAACCAAATGCATGCATGAATCTTGGATGAATGACCGGCCCACAGACAAAAAGCAAGAAAGGCCGTGTGGGGGACAACTAGGAAAATCTGGGTAAGGACGGTGCAAACATTACAAGTTAATGCTAATACTCTAGGCATGATAGTGTGGTTATGTGGGAAAATACCCTTACTCTTAGGACAAGCATGCTGAAGTAGGTGAGAAGTGTCATGGTGTCTGCAACTCTCTTTCAAATGGTTCAGCAAAAATAATGTGGATAGGATAAATAAAGCTAATGTAGCAAAATATTAACAACTGGCAACTAAAGGTGAAAAATAAATAGCTGTTTATTATTTGAGGTTTTTAACTTTTCTGCAGATTTTGAGAAAAAGCCAAAAACAGGGTAGGGAGATCCATACCATCTTTGTTCAGTAAATACTAGAAAAAAATTTAATGGACGGAAGCTAGGTCTTGGGGCATGCATATCTTTACCCAAGACACTGCCACACTGCTCTTCAACTGGTTGTACAACTATCCCCACCAATATCTGTGAGGTTTTTTTTTTTTTTTTTTTTTTTAAAGATTTACTTATTTAAGAGAGAAACAGAGATAGCGACAGAAATAGCAAGCAGGGAGGGGAGGGAGAAGCAGGCTCCCCACTGAGCAGGGAAACTGATGCGGGACTCAATCCCAGAACCCTGGGATCATGACCCGAGCCTAAGGCAGACACTTAACCAACTGAGCCACCCAGGTGTCCCTGATGTTTCATTTCTTACAAACAAAAATCTGGAAATGTGAAGCAGATATTACAAAATGTTAGAATATGACAAGCTGTTTGACAGGAGCGAGAGTACTGGTCAGATAAACTCCACACTTGTCTGTGTGCTTAAACATCTCTTTAAAAAAATATAGATTTATAACATGTATCAAGTTAGCTACCACAAAAATGATATGCCCTTGGGAATATCAGAAGATGGGCTGATTCAGGATCACTCAAAGCCACCAAAAGGGAAGTCTCAAGCTGTTACCTAACGCAGCCCTGGGGAAAGGAAGCAGGGAACCTAATCCTGTCCCGCCCCCACCAAGTCCAAGGCCTATTAACATATCATCAGAGAACACGATCCTAGAGGAAGGGGCCACATTTAACGAGCATCACCTATGGGGAGAGGCACAAACAGCTGCCTTCCAGTCCCTCAGGTGCTGCTGTGAGGGCCAGTTCTCACTCCCTTTGTTCTCATCCTCACACCCTCCTAACCCCTCAACCCTCTGTTGACTCCCTTTAGCCTCCCAGCCTCCTGTCACTCGGAAAACACACCCTGGAAAGTAGAGTCTGAACAGATCGGAGTCTGTAAAGGCCCAAGCCCCACTGTTCAGTATAAATGGGAATTCTGGTGTATACCCTGTCTTGTGTGGCTGGCTGGAGAGACTCCCTGATGCCCCTCGAACCTAATCAATCTGAGGCCTGTCAGAATGGAGGACCCATGTCTGCTTAGGCTCCAGGCAACATCTCCACGCTAACAGTTAGAAGTAAGAGGTGGGGGAAAATGCCTCTGAGAACTGAACCCCCCGCCCCCACCCCCCTTCCACCCAATCACACCGCATACCCGGGAGTACTGCAGCTTGTCCACAATGTCGTCACTAGTGAGGGGGATTAGTCCTGGAAGAAACAAAGAACCACTTTAAAGAAGTCCAAATGGCCACGCCAGAAGGAGAACCTAAAAATCCCCTTGGGAGTGAGGAGGCTTCTTCCTCTGATACCAGGCACAGCCCCCCTCCCTTTCACCTTTCAAAACCCGCACTCACCAAGCCTGTGAGCAATGAACTCATCATGAAGGACTGAGGAATTGGCATCAATTTGAACCCAATCAATGGCTAAAAAATAAAGCAGACGTGCAGTTTAGCCACCAAATTCATTTAAAGACTTACAGCAGTGGTTCTCAAGATTTAAGAAACACCTGGTGCTTACTAAATTACAAAAGCCTGGGCCAGGCTGCCAGAGGCTGATTCTGCAGCTCAAGTGGGGACCAGGGATCCGCATTTTAACAGGAACCACATGCAACAGCCCCTCCTTTCCTACTCAGGCAGATTTAATGCGGGGGGGGGGGGGTCCTGTTCCATACAAAATACTGACTTAGAGAATACTCATGGGAGTGGGAACATGTTTCTTTGAACTAAATATTTCTGTGAGAAGCATTTACGTCTGTCATTCATGTCAACACCAAATCCAAGAACATAAACTACTCAGGCACTTAAAAAGTTGGGGAAAAAATCTCAACACAGACTTATGGTCCATATCTCACTTTATGATGCAATGACCAGATTACCCCATTTAACACTTTATTATCACTCAATCAACTAATGTTTAGAGAACTCCTTTAATGGAAACAGTATACTAAATATCAAACCCAATGCTTACCAGCAATGAGCTAAAAGGATAAGAACTGTATTATCACACACACCTGACTTAAACACATTCATTCATTAATAAACATCTGCATGCAGACAAATTCATAAATCAAATGGCCAACCACCAAAGGGCATGGACACTAGAAACGGAAGTCAGAAGAGGACCAGACAGTTAGGACCCAATGTGCATTGTCCTATGCTTTCTATTGCTTCCCCAACCCAAGCCAAAGAAGGACCATGAACCAAGCTTTTCTGACTCTGCCTCCTTACTCCCCCCACCACCACCCATCCCACACATGCCCCGACCCTCTCCTGTGCAGGTTAACATCCTCTGAGGCTCCTATAAACCAAGCTTTGCTTGACCTCCAGGATACAGATACCAACACTCCCTCCCTACAAGCTCCTCCCTCACAAGACTCTGCCCAAACTAAAGACACTTGTTACATATATACACACACATACAATATGTATGTCATATACATATATGTATTATATATATACTTCAAAAATTTTTTGAAAGAGAGAACGAGTGTGGGAAGGGCAGGAGGGAGATTCCACACTGAGCGCAGAGCCTGATGCCGGGCTTGATCTCACAACCCTAAGATCATGACCTGAGCCAAAAATCAAGAGTCAGATGCTTAATCAACTGCGCCACTCAGGCACCCCTACCCTGTCAATATTTTGCCCTGTATTGTATTTGCATATATCTTGTCTCAACCTCACAGCTTCGAAAAATCCTTGGGGTGGAGTCTTCAAATATCTTAACTTTTGCATTCCCAATGTGGCCTGGAATGTAGCAGGTGCTACTACTTGCAGCACTGAATTTGTGGGAAAAATGGCATTTAGACTTGTAATGTCATATTGCCTCGAAGTACAACTCCATGGGGTACCTGGGTGGCTCAGTCGGTTAAGCGTCTGCCTTCGGCTCAGGTCACGGTCCCAGGGTCCTGGGATGGAGCCCCTCATCGGGCTCCCTGCTCCTCAGGGAACCTGCTTCTCCCTCTCCCTCTGCCTGCCGCACCCCCGCTTGTGCGCTCTCTAATAAATAAAATCTTAAAAAAGTACAACTCCCTTATTTTACTCATGATGAAACGGAGGCCCACAGACATGGAGTGATTAGGGAGAGGTTAGACCAGCACTCCAAGTTCTGAGCTGAAGAAGTGACTAGAGATTGTAGTGGTGGAAACTACAATGTTCTCTTGTTTACCAATCATTCGGCCTGCTTATTTCCTTAGGAGTGCAGCAGCTGTGAGTTACACTTCTTTTTCCAACCCAAACTTTGAATGGACACTCAGTATAGATTTGTAATATATTTATAAATGTGAAAAATACCTGGGGCAGGGTGGCTGGAACCAGAGCAGACCCTCCTTCCTCTAAGCGCCAACAGCACTGTAGTTCTACTTCTGAGCTACTTACTGATCCACGCCTATCCTGCAGTACTGTTACCTGTGGATTCGCCTTTGCCCTGCAACTTCACTGGGCGCTCCCCGAGGGCAAGAACCCTGCACTATGCAGCTCTGCATTCCCAGTTCCTAGCACACTGCCTGGCAGTTACATGTTCTGAGTGCAGCTGAAGGAACGGATTCATCAAAACACACCTACTAGTCCTGAACACAAGGCATTTAATAGGGATTCCCTCATTCAATCCTTGCCATCACCCTATAAGTACTATTAATGTCCGAATATTACAGGGAAAACCGCACCACACAGTTGAAAAACTTGCCCAAGTTTCACAGGGACAGTCCGGGAAAACGGTATTCAAACCCAAATACGCAGACTCCCGAACCCACGCTCCTCACCGACGCGTAAGTGAAAGTGGCCCCTAGCGGCCTGGGCCAACGGTACAGCACTGCTGTCTTCTCAGAGCCACCCCAGGACCCCCCGCCCCAGCCTCACCAAGCGCTAGGAGCAGGAGCCCCAAGGTGTGCGGAGGGGGCCGGCCACGACAGGCCGGTTTCACTTACCTATTATGGGCACCTCGGCGATGAAGACCCTCCGTATAGAGTTGGCCACCCTGAGGGATGAAAACCAAGCCGCGTGAGGACGCCGCAGCCTCGACGGCGAAGTCCCGCGCTCACGGTTCCCAAAGCGGAAGCCCCGCCACGGGGGCCCAGCTCTAGAAGGACGTGACCCCCGCCCGGCCCGACTCCAGCCCCCCGCGTTCCACAGCCGCCGGCCTCCTCCCTCAGGGACCTTACGCCAGGTCCGTGTTCTCAATGATGAACTTGACATTCTCGTCGGTGAGCTCCGTGATCCGCACGGTGGGCTGGTTGGCATACGGCATCGTGCCCCACAACCCGCCAGCTCCCGGGATTCGGCTCCCTGCGCCACCGCCGCCGCCGCCGGAAGTGGGTCAGCGCGGCCCTCGCCGCTTCCGCAGACACGCGCTCACAGCGCCACCTGCCGCTCGGAGGCCGTTGCCGCTCCGGGCCCCGTTTTACACTCCCACCTGCTGGAAGTGCATCAGGTTCAACCGTGGGAGGGGCGGGGGCGGGAATTGGCAAAACCTGTGCACGCCCTCGACTCAACAATAACACTTCTAGGAATTCCTACTACGAAAACGGCTGCAGTTGTCAGCAAAGTTACACGTGCGGGGGCGTTCCCTGAAGCACTGTTTGTAACAGCAAAAGGTAACAAAACTAGGTATCTATTGACAGAGACCAGGTTAAATAAACAAAACAGAATACTACGATGCCTGTAAGAAAATGAAGTAAATCTGCACATTTATGGAAGAACATAAGTATACTTCAGCAAAGTCTGGCTCACGCTCTCCTGAAACTGCAGGAAGATACAATGCTTTCACTTCAGTGCATCATCTGCAGTCTGTGTAGCTGTGGCAGGTGGGTGGGGGCTCTTCATCTCCACATGCCTGGCAGCGTGCAGATGCTCAATAGAGAGTACCAAAGCCCCCCACCCCACCCCACACACAGCCTGGAGAAAGCTCTGATTGGGCACCTGCTCATAGCAGAGAAGAGGCTCTAAAAATAGAACTTAGCAGGAACTACATTTAAGGCAGAAGAGTAAGAGAGGAGATAAAGAGTTTGCCTTAGCTGGGGGTGACACTCTTCCTGAGACAGAGAGAAAGGGCACTGAGGGGGCCTGTGCTTCACAGCCTGTGTCATCTCAGGAAATTAAGGATTAAGGTTGTCTGTTGAGTACAAGAGGGATGCTATGGAGAGAATGGAATGAAATTTGGTACGTAGGGGACTTGACAGGGAGTCATGATACAAAGAATGAAAGAGGTGCAGAAAGGGGCAGGTGGAAGTCCAAAAGATTGGAAACACCTATTAGCTGGTGACTTCCCCCATCAATACCCCGTCCATTTAGGTCGGACAGAGCAACGCAGAAGACAGATGCTCTGGACTGAATTGTGTTCCTCTCAAATGCTGAAGCCTAATGCCCAACGTGGTATTTGGGGATGGAGTCTGTGGGAGGTCAGGAGGGTAGGAATAGTGCCCTCCTGATAGGAAGAGTGCCCTTATAAGAACAGGAGAAGACACTGGAGCTCGCGCTCTCTCTGCCCTGTTAGAACATAGAGAAAAGGTGGTTAAGTCAGAAAGACTTCACCAGGAACTGGCTGGCACCTTCATCTTGGACTTCCCAGCCTCCAGAACTGTGAGAAACAAATGTCTGTTGTTAAGTCACCCCATCTATGGTATTTTGTTATAGTAGCTCGAGAAGACTACAACAGAGTTAACCAGACTTGCAAAGGGAGCCCAGCCAGTGTAGAGGCAGAAAATTATTAATGCTAAAGAACAGACCCCTGAAATGGTCAGTCATAGAAAATAGCAGCCAAGGGAGCTAACAGTGCAGGGAAGGCCACCATCACCCACACTTCCAGAAGGGAAGCACCGGCCCAGGGAGGCAGACCTGCTGTGACCACCCACTAGCAGTAGGCCGCACGAGGACCAGAGCCCAGGCCTTCCGGCTGCCAGCCTCAAGCCCTTCCGGCATCACTGCTGTCTCCCTCTGGGGTCCCGGCTACCTGCTGTGGCCCACATGGAAACGAACTGCCAACATGAAACGGCTTCAAACATATTTATTACTATTTTTACCCTCGAAAGCTCACTCTAGCCCTGCCACACGTGCTGGTGTAACACGGCAAAGGGCCTGGGTTCCCGCCTCTGGCCAGGCTGAGCACCGCTGTCTGGAGGCACCAGTCTCAGGTGAGGCAGCTTTCTGAAGGGTCCCAGGTGCAGTATCTCAGGACACCAGGGTGGGGGGGGTGGTGAGGAACACCTGTGGGCACAAGTCGAGCCATGCCGGGGGTGGGCAGCCACCTTGTAATGGCTCCACACCCTGACTCTCATTTGGGAGCCCCAGAGAACACTTTGGGAAGGTTAAGACGTGATCAAGGCATCCGTGAGACCATGACAGGGACGTGCTGGGTTTCTGTGGCTCGATGGCTTGGATGAGAGCTTCATTTTTCAATCACACAGCTGCAACGCAGAAAGGCATCAGGAGGCCTGGCCTGGCATTTGGAACTGAAGAGGTAGCCCGACTGCAGGCTACAGCTGTATCAAGTGCCCTTTGGTTTCCAGGTGGCTGTCGTAGTGACTAAGGAGTCCTTCAGCGTTTTCTCATTAACACCCTGGACGGCACTTCATATTTTTCAAAGCCCTTTCAATGTACCTGCAGCTTTTCTTCTGGGCACTCTAGCTCAGCGCTGGTTCCCACTCACCGGCGCTGGTTTAGACCTGTCAAGTTCTTGAGCTGATAAAGGGAAGAAAAGGGAATGATGAGGCCTTGCCCTGTCCCTAGGACTCCAATGGGAAAGATTGGGATTTTCAAGGTGGCAGGCACAGCTAAGACCCACAGATCTGACATGCCAGGGGCCTGGGAGTCAGCCATGCTTTTTAATGGCAGCAAAAAAAAGAGGTGGGGAATTCAGGATCAGAGACTGGGGCTGAACCACTATCAGTCTTATTAGTAGCTTTCCGGCTTAAGGCTTTTGGGATCCTCGACACATGTTGTAAGGATCACAGGGCAGGAGTGGAATGGGAGGAGGGCAGGGATGAGCGGGGCAGTACTCACCGTCACTGCTGCACCCATGAGTCCCTGCACCAGTGCCTCTCCAGTGGACTTTACCTAGAAGGAGTCAAGGTCAGGTTCTCTTAAGCCCCCAACACAAGCTCAAAGGTGAAACAGGTAGGACAAATCGGGAGGGGGGGCGGCTCATGAGGACCCTGTGGACTGGAGGAAGAGCCTATGGACACAACCACAAATGACCCAAGTGTGGCTCTTAGGGAAGGGCAGGTATGTGGAAGAGCCAGCCAGACTCCCTGGGCAGGCCCTCAGGACTGTCCTCTGAGGCCAAAGGGGAGCAAGAAGACAGGAGACCAGCTGTGGCTTGAGGAGGGTAGTGTGTCTAATGAGGCAGCTTCCCAAAGGGCTAGCCCCAACTACCTTCTTGGCAGTGTGGCTCATGTTCATTGCGTCATTAATCCGGTTTTCCAGGAAGCGCCAAGTGTCCTCAAAGTCTGGAGAGGAGTCCTGTATCATCACCAGCTCTGTCGTGTTGTAGATGCCAGCCAGCACAGCTCGGCGGGTATACCAGTTAAACTGCAAAGAAACCCACCCAGGAAGGTGGGTCACCACTACTGCTGTGGACTGGGGGAAGTCTGGGGTGGTTCCTACCCAAAGCCACGGGCACACATGGGCTCCCTCCTGATCTCTTCTTTCCTCCAAAGATACATTTGTCCCCCCCTGGATAACAGTACTGTTCTCAAACTTGGCTGCACGTCAAAATTACCTGGGAGATTAAAATGCAAGCTCCTGGGCCCAACCTCTTAGAGCTTAGAGTCAGGGGGTCTGAAGAAAGTGCAAGGAATCTGGATGTCTGATAAGCATCCCAAGTGATTTTGTTACATCCAGTCCATTTTGAAACTGCTGGTGAAAAGACCAAGTCTTAGGCCACCTAAATTCCAGAGAGGCTCTATGATCAGCCAGTTACGAGCACACTGTGGTGTGTTCATCAGTCATGTGGGGGTGGAGACAGGACCATGGACGGATCAGAACACCTGGGCCGAGCTGAGGGTTCCGGTCCCTCGGCCACTCGGGCTGGCCCAGCAAACTGCTCTTTGGAGGACTAGCTCAGCTGCTCCGTGTTTTATTCCTTTAATTTCTCAGCTTTCTAATTTCATTTTGTCACCAGCTCTGCTGGTGACTGTACTCCCACACGGGGGAAGCTTACTGAAGTCCTTTGTTAGAACTGTGTCAGGAGCATCTCTTTGCCTCCCGAGCCTGGATTCCACAAAGCACCATCACAAATTAACTTCTTTTATGAAGGTATACTTTTTATTTTTTAATTTCCTGCCAGAAATACGATAGCATTAACAAGTCAGATTCTTTCCTCGTGCCTGTTTAAAGGCTTTTTGATCTCTTAGCAAAGCAGGCCAAAGTGGGCTGGGGGAGGGAGTTCCTTTTCAAAGCAACTGGTGGCTCCATGGCATTCTTCTTTTTTTTTTTTTTTTAAAGCAGGCTCCATGCCCAGCATGGAGCTTGAACTCATGACCCTGAGATCAAGACCCAAGGTGAAATCAAGAGTCGGACACGTAACCAACTGAGCTATCCAGGGGCCCCCCTTTCTTTAAATCAGTCTCATGAAAACCACACACTGAAAAAGCCCACTGCAGAATCTGAATCTTAGGAGACTGAGGAGAAAAATGCTTATAAAATGGCAGCCCAGTCACCACTAGAGGTCAGAGGGAACAACTGCTTATTTGTGGCTAGGGTGCTGGCCCTCAAGTGAGGACCTGGCTCCCACTGTGGCTTGTTGAGGGACCTTCCCCACCCCTAGCCTCTCCTTCCCATGACAGGAATGGCACTGCAGGCCCTCTGAAGGGATCTGTGATCAAAGAACTTTCACAACCTTCCCGAAGAAATGCCTAACCCACACCTTTTCCGGTACCCTGTGGGTATGCAGAAAGCACTCACGTCAGTGGACTGGTCCCCAGCGTAGTGCCACATGTCATCCACCATACTGGCGATCAGGCTGAGGCTGGATGGGATGTTGTGAGGGAGCATGAGGATGCTGAGGGCCTGAGGAGAGAAGGACGGAGAAATAGGCACCACACACAGAAATAACGGCGCACGGGTGGGATGGCGACTCACCCCTCCGTGGAGGTGTGTAAAAGGGCCTGCCCAACTCTCCTGCTGAGACCCACCATCTCCACCTGGCTGGGGTGAGCTCCTGGCAGCTGACAATGCCGGCTACAGCTGATGGGAGCCAGGGGCAGATCCTACCCTCAGCTGGCTCACTCAGCTTCTCCATCCCCAGCATGTGGACTTGGGAAGGCGGGCACCCAGAGGGTCTAGCTGTCTTTCTAACAGCACTGAGAGCAAGGATGGGGGAGTGCACCCCGTTCTGTAATACGGAGGAAGAGGCAGAGATGGGAGGAAGGTTGGGGGTGGCTTCTAAGTCCAAATCCCAGGCCATTCCCAGGGCCCAGCAGCATTCCTGCCCTCGATGCCCCATTGCAGCCTCCCTGGTGTTTTACTTAACTCAAGTTGGTTTCTAGTACCTGAAACCAAAAATCCTTCAACCCATACAAGCAATGGCACCACCCAGAGCTTTTCCTTAGCAGACATGACTCCTGAGAGGATAAGGTCTTATCACTTTGCCAACTAAAAAATCCACTGGCTGTGGCCTGTGGGAGCTGGTCAGAGGCCCTGAATTGGCTGGAAAGCTTTCTCTTATTGAAGGAGCCCAGAAGAAAAACGTGCTGAATCAGAAGGCAGTTGGGGCCCAATACACGCACTTCCACTGCTTTAACTGCAAGGTGGAATGAGTCCAGGCCAGAGGTCTGAAGATCAAGTGTGGCAGGCAAAGGCAGGGGACAGGGGACGGGACTTCGCTCACTGTACTCCCTCCACACGCAGCCCGGGCTCAGGCCCAGGTGTTCCAATGCCTGTCCCCTGACTGACTGACAGTACACGCTCAGTGGTATCCCAGTGGGTGGGGGACATGTGATGGTCTTGGCTGTCCTCTCACTCCCTGATGTGCTTGGACTCTGCTTTCTTAACTAAGAGAATAGCCCACATGGTGACATGCTTGGAAACCGGAAAAAGGAAGCTTCCAAAAAGGGGATAAAAAGCCCTTGGAACGAATACTCCGATTCTCAAGCACCACGTGGACAACTGGTAAAGCCATCCCACTCCTCAGACATCTACAACACCTCAGGCCTGTTACTGGCAACAGCCAAGAAACTCCTCTCATTTTCTAATATCCGTCACGGATTCCTCCTCACTGAAGACCTGGTGGCACACTTGGGCCACCGGGACTCAACACGAATGTGACCTAGTTCCCCGGGCCACTCGCCTTTCTAGGAACTGAGACCCAGGTGGCTCTGTTCCTCCCACTGGCATGCCCCAGTTTATGCTCCCGAGCTCTACCGAGTGCACTAAGAATCCCAGAATCCCCGGGTCTGTGCAGATTAACGAGCTAACTTCTGCAGAATGTGCAAGGTCCTCTGATGGCTAGGCACTGAGAACTAAGACCATGAATAATACATTGTTGCCCTGGGGTCTAGACATGGAATCCGTACCCGGGGCCAGTGCTCAATGTACGGGATCAGCATTCTCAGTCTGGTTTCCACTGCGTCCCTCAGGAACTGGTCTGTCTTCCTCTTCCTGGAAGATGGAAAAGAAAACAGTGTGTCTCTGGGTCAAAGGCATGGGCTCGGTGCTATACCACTTACCCGGCTCTAGGGAACGGGGCAGGGGGGGTCCCACCAGCTCCTGATGCTGGCCCGTCGCAGACAAGCAGCTGTGTTCCAGGCCCATCCAAGCAGCAGGGCTGCTCCATGCTCCTCTCTTTTGGCTCTGCTGGGATCAGCCTCCTGGGGCACTTGGTGGGGCCTGACCCCCCTTACCCCGATCCTTAGCTGCCACCCTGAGCAATAATGCCACAGGACTTACTCTGCCTGGCCCAGCTGTACCAGCTTCTGCTCCTCTTCCAGCACGTGAGTGAGCTGAGCGTTGCACTGGGTCACAAAATGCAGTATCAGCTCACTGCCGTCGTCCCCAAACATGCCGGCTGCCGCACTGGACAGACCCAGAGACTACAAAAGGAGAGAGGAAAACGGGGCGTGGTATACAGCTGTAGTGGACCTGTACTGCCTGCTCCTTGCTAGGGCCTGCTTTTCTAGTAGCAGCAGGTTGATTCTTTATGGCCTAACCCTACTCTGCGTTCCTGGTCCCTGTGGTTTGGATGAAGCTGACCGCCAGTCCACACTCCATCAAGCCCCCTGTGTACTGTAAAGCATGAGGCCCAGGCTTGGATAACTGGAGTTCAGTGACTAGCTCAGGGACCTGCCCAGGGCCCAATCCAGGCCCTAAGAGGCCGCCTCTGGGCTTCTGCTGGTACTGATGGGAAGGAAGTGCTCCCCTTTTTTTTTTTTTTAATTTTTTTTTTCTTAAGATTTTTTTTATTTATTTGCGAGAGAGACAATGAGAGACAGGGAACATGAGAGGGAGGAGGGTCAGAGAGAGAAGCAGACTCCCCGCTGAGCAGGGAGCCCGATGTGGGACTCGATCCCCGGGACTCCAGGATCATGACCTGAGCCGAAGGCAGTCGCTTAACCAACTGAGCCACCCAGGTGCCCCAGGAAGTGCTCCCTTTTCACTGGCGCTGCTGAACCGTTTTTAAGTCCTGCATGGGAAGCCCCTGCTGAGAATGAAGCTCACAGAGAGGAAAGCAAAGCAGACAGGATGAAGAGACGATCCCCAACAGCACAATCTAAGAACACTGTGCCAGAGGTACTTCCAGACTTTTGTTATTAAATGAGCCCAAACACTCCCTTTCCTGCTTGAGCCAGTTAGAATTGAGCTCTGACACTCGTAACCCAAAGTCCTAATATAAAAAAGAGGGCTGGGAAGAGCACTCAGCTCTTTCTCACCAATTCACTTAACCTAAATCTCCTGGAAATTAGGCCTCTCAGTTATAAAAAAAACAAAACCAAAGAACATTTTTCTTAATGAGTTGTTAAGAAGTTAACAAAGCCACGAAGATCCTCGGCTATTCCTGATATACAGCAACCACTGAGCATCTACGAGAGGCAGAACGCTGACAGCACCAAGGACAGAGGGCAGAGAAGGAACAAAAAAATGATTAACCCTAATCCCCAGGGCTGGGAGCGGGGACAGTCCCTCTGTTTACACAGCCTTTCCAGAGGGCCATTTGGCAGGCTCCACAACAGCCGTGCAGCGGCATCAATACTGACTGGGACTGGAGGCTCACGGTGGCAGGCACTTGGCTAAGCACACGACACACACGATCTCACTGCAGCCTCCCAGCAACTCCAGCTGCCGGGCGTTATCCTCACCCACATTTTGCAGACAAGGAAACTGAGGCTCAGAGCTCTTCACCAACAGGCTATACCGCTTCTACTATGTGTCTAACAAGACCCTCAAAAATACACTTGGGCGCCTGGCTGGCTCAGTGGGTAGAGCATGCGACTCTTGATCCTGGGGTGGTGGATTCAAGCTCCCCGCTGGGTGGAGAGATTACTTAAACAAATATCTAAATATACATACGCACACACGTATATCCACATACACTCCCTGGACTACGTAGTGAGTCAGTGTCTCAGCCCCAAGGCTGCCCTCAGCTTCATGACGCAGGGGCTGTTGCCCCACCAGCCCAGCGGCTCCAGGTTAGGCTCTGCAGATCGACTGGGTGGTGGGTGGTCGAGGGAGACTGCGAGGCTGGAGGGGGAGGAAGGGACTTGCCCCTTCCTGTCGCCTTCCCGTCCGCTAGCGGCTCCTGTGGGCACCTCCCCCACCGCGCTTCCTCACCACCTTCTTCAGCGTGGCCCCCGCGGGATCTGGGGTTCCAGCCAACCACCACCCACCCCTGCCCCCAGAGACCCTCTCTCCAAGCTCAGAGACAGCAGTGCCAGCGGAGTAGGCTTGAGTTCTGCCTCCACAGGGGCTCTCCTTCAAGCTTCTCGTTTTAACAATTCCACTTTTTCCCTCTGTCCCCTTAGCCCTGGAGATGGGAGCCACTTCCTGCAGCGGCAGCCTCCATAACACCCTAAAGGGTTCTTCTTATGCTGCCAGTGGCCCAGTTATCAACTTTCCACCTAGCTCACCATTCCTTGTATTAAATTCTCTCTATCTGAATAACTGGCATAGTCTCTGTCCCCTGACGAATACGCGCCCCGAAGTAGCAACTCCACTTCTCCAAATGCACTTAAATGTGTTGTACAAATAGGTTTAGAACACTAAAAAATTGGGAACAACCCAAATGTTTATCAGTTGAGGTGAAGTAAACACAACGGCTACTATGCAGCCCTATAAATGAAGAGATACAGAGTGGAAAAGACCAGTTACCCAGAGAATAATTCAGTGTTTTTCCACACAGTCCTGGTACATTGCTGTCCTCTACTTGTTCCACCGCTTCCTGGAATGGTTCCTTCGAACGTTCTTTGCCACACTCAACTCTTTGTCTCCTCCAACCCTTTCCTAACTTCAGGTTCATGAGACAACCACTCCTACTTCACAGAGAACAGAAGCTGTCCCCCTGGAACTCCCTCAATATTCTAGCAACTAAACCTGCAGCTGTCTTCTCCAACCTCACCCCTAGTACACCTACGACAGTCCTCCCACTTATTTTCTGGATCTCCTAGTTCTTGCCTTCACGGGACTTTGCACTTTTGATTTTGCCACTTTCTCTTGTACCTTTACCTCACCCTCGTTTCTGGGTTCTTCTGGCCAATGTTCAAACATGCTCATCCTTCCACCTCATTCTCCCTGCAAGCTTGGGATGGGAGAAGTGAATCCAGAGTTCCTTTGCTCTCTGTTCTCACAGAGCTCTCGCAGGTCAGTATCTGGCTCTGCTTGACAATTCTGTATGCCACGGCCTCAGGACGAGCCTGCGGCTTAATCTAAAGCAGCCATCTGTTCCTGGGCAGGAGGAATGTACTGAGAAAAATCAGGTGTCTCCCTAATGGTCTCCTCAATGGTGCTCTTTTTTTTTTGGTACAAAATGGTTGTTTTATTAAAGCATGGGGACAGGGCCCATGGGCAGGAAGAACTGCGGACCAACGGTGCCTTCTTAGAGTTTTCAAACATCAGATTTCATCAGTTCTAAGATGCACCTATTTTATCATTTTTTTTTTAAGATTTTTATTTGGAAGTGATCTCAACACCCAACGTGGGGCTCAAACTCACAACCCCAAGATCAAGAGTCACATGTTCTGCCAACTGAGCCAGCCAGGTGTCCTATTTTTTTTTTTTTAAGATTTATTTATTTGAGGGGGAGGCAGAGGGAGGGGCAAAGGGAGAGGAAGAGAATCTCAAGCAGACTCCTGGCTCAGTGGGGAGCCCAACTCAGGGCTCAATCTCACGACCCTCATCATGACCTGACCCGAAACCAACAGTCGGGTGCTTAACCGACTGAGCCACCCAGGTGCCCCCCATTTTTTCAATTTAAACAGTGTGAATTATGCAATTGACTACATGTCCTAATTTAATAGGTAACTTTTCTTTTTTAGTGATGCGTAACATAATGGTACTTCTTACAACCACTGCCATCTTCGAGTCAATGAAATGTGGTAGTTGTGATCATCAGCAATGCTTGCCTAATGGGGTGCCCTTAGAACCTAGCTCGCAAGAACCAACTCCATGGTATGATCTTTCTATACTAAAAAATAAAGCCATCTCACCCTACTGGGGAAAAAACAACCTCCCCCCCAACCTGCCGCCATGGAAAATCCTGTAGCAGTGAGGGGCTCGAGGCTGGGCTGTCTGCTCTGGCTAATCCCGGTCAGGCTGCCCCGCCCCGCCCCGTCCCATACACACCTGGGCTCCTTCTGCAATGGCCTCTGCTGTCCACCCGTGGGCAGGCACAAAGCCCAGCGCTGCCGTCAGGATGCGGTGCTGCAGCTGCTCCTCACTCTCGTGGTCCTCCTCCTCCTCGCCGCCCTGATCTGTGTACCTGAGACCCACACGGAACAGAGATGTGGCGACGGAGCCCAGCACACCTCTCACTGTTGCTGCCTGGCAGGCCAAAGGTGCCTGACCAGAACCCAGAGGCTCGGTGCCTCTGGCCAGCACACTCTGGGAAGACATTTACTTTTGTGCCAGTATCGCTATTTCCATGCCGACGGGGCAAAAATGATGTCATCTTTCTCCTCTCATACAGTCACTGAAAGAAGGGATCCAGTGGGCAAGGAGGCCATGACATGGGAAGGCAAATGCTCCCACAGCACTCTGGATCTCTCCGTTTATAGCCCTTAGCACACTGTTCCTTTATCTGTATTTGTACCAAATGATAACTCCAGGGCCTGGCACAAAGTAGATCCTAAAAACGTATTTGCTGAATTGAAAAGTATTTTAATCAGGACACCAGAAAAATGACAGGAACACCCTAATTTCAGAGCTAGAGGAACTTCTCAGTGGCAGGATTAAGGAAAAAAAACATATAATGGAAATGTAAACTATTATCCCCTTCTTAGACAGCAATTTGGCCCCACATACGTAACAAAATGCTAAATGTGCACATCCTTTGATTCAGTGCTCTCAATGCTGAGAGATAATCCCATTATTTTTTTTTAACCAGTGAAGGAAATCTAAATATTCATCAATAAAAGATAGGTTAAATAAATTTTAATACTGACAAATTTTAGGGGCACCTGGGTGGCTCAGTCGTTAAGCAGCTGCTTTCAGCTCAGGTCATGATCCCAGGGTCCTGGGATTGAGCCCCACATCGGGCTCCCTGCTCCGCGGGAGCCTGCTTCTCCCTCTCCCACTCCCCCTGCTTGTGTTCCTGCTCTCGCTATCTCTCTCTGTCAAATAAATAAAATTTAAAAAAAAATACTGCCAAATTTTAATACTGCCATTCTGCTGGAATATTATGCAACCATTACAATCATACAGACTGTGAAAACATTAAAAATGTATTGTTGAGTGAAAAAGTAGATTCTGGAATGTCATGTATAGTGTAATTATTATATATAGATTTATACATGGAATATACTTAGAAAAACATCTAAAAGGATAGTCACAAAATGTTGCACTTATTTCTGGGTTTGTGATTCCTGGTCATTTTTGTTTTATTTTTCTGAACTTCTTTGTATTGTTTAGATATTTTAGAATGAACAGGCACAATTTTCAAAAAAACCCATAGATTCGTTTCACGGATAGCCTTGAAAATGACAGAAGGTGAAAAGGGGGATAAAAAGAAGAGAGGAAGGAGAGATAGGACAGACATACCCAAGCATGCAAAACGGCCAGAAACAGATGAATGGGAGTTCTGGGGCATACCTGGGGGGTGAACGAGAAGACTCTGGATTGGGTTCTTCTGCCTCATGTGTCTCAGAATGTTGCTGAGAAAAAGATGGGGGACGTTGTTGCTTCTGCTCATCTGAAGACTTTAGCTGCATGGCTGAAGCATGGAAGGCACGTGACACCACGGCTGATTGGCAACGGGACACTGAAACAAAAACTGGTCTGGTCAGTCAGGGACACTTACCAGAGAAGACTCTTTGAAACCCAGAATGGTGTGAGGGATGGGGGTAGGAAAAGCAGGGCTGAGTCTCCTCCAGAACCACTTATCCAACTGTTGAGTCCCAGACAAAAATTTGGGGTAAGTTGGCAACCTTGTGATATGATGTGGTGGCAAAAGCATGAGCCAGGTAACAGAAGACCTGGTTTCTAGGCCTGCTGCTATCGTTTGTTAACTGTGTTAATGGACAAACCACTTCACCGCAACGAGCATGATTTTTAAATATGCAAATTAAGAGTAACAATCTGTTTGCTCAATGGGAGTGTGGTGAAGCCCAATCAAAAAGTGAAAGTGACCTGAAAATGTTACATATTTATATCATAGCAAGAGCACTGGACTAGAAATTAGAAGGTCCAAGTACTGACTCCCATAGTGTTTATATGTAGTGTCTTCAGATGGATCATGCAGGGCTCGAACTCACGACCCTGAGATCAAGACCTGGGCTGAGGGCACCTGGGTGGCTCAGTTGGTTAAGTGTCTGCCTTCGGCTCAGGTCATGATCCCAGGGTCCTGGGACTGAGTGCTACATTGGACTCTCTGCTCAGCGGGGAGTCTGCTTCTCCCTCTCACTCTCCCTCTGTGTTCTCCCTCTCTCTTTCTAAAATAAATAAATAAAACCTTAAGAGAAAAAAAAAAAAGACCTGAGCTGAGATCGAGTTGGATGCTTAACCGACTGAGCCACCCAGGTGCCCGTTATAAAAAAATTCATACAAGTTGAAAGAACTATGGCATGAACACCTGTTTATCTACCACCTAGGTTCTACAGATCTATCACACTCTTCATTCATCAGTCCAGCTTATTTTTTTTTAATCCAGCTTATTTTTGATGCATTTGTTGCAGTCCTCAGTATTCTTCCCCTCTATACATTCTGGCATGCATACCATTAACTAGAGTTCAATATTTATTTACTGTTCTTTCACTGAGGTGACAGTTATATACAATGAAATGCACAAATCTTAACTGTGCCAATTCTGACATTTGATAAAGGTATACACTTGCATAATCTGAACTTCTATCTAGAGAATATTATCACACCACAAAGTTTCCTCATGCTCTTTCCCAATCACTCCCTACTTACACTGTTCTGAAATTTTCACCCTAGTTTAACTTGTCCTAGAATTTCATCTAAATAGAATCATACAGTATATCCTTTTTGTGTAAAACTTTTTTTGCACAGTCGTTTTTAGACGGATTAGTTTTGTGGAAATTGTCTTATTGCTGAGTAATATTCCATTAAGAAACACTACTCTGTTGAACACCTGGGTTGTTTCAGCCTTCTCTATCATGAATAAAGTTGCTATAAATATACTTCTGCAGAACTTTTGGTGGACATATGCTTTCATTTCTCTTGGGTAAATACCTACGTGGCTTTGCTGGGTCATAGGCATTACTTTAACTAAACATATGTAGTTTGGAGTTTTGTATAAAAACAACAAAAGGACACTTTTTTTAATCTATGGACTAACTCAGGGAACAATAATCTTAAAAGATATGCAGAACAGTATGTGTAAAAATATCAATATTTTACTATTTGTAAAAAAAAAAAAAAAAAGGAATACTCATAAAACTTTGAAAAGGAGGGAGAGGTCCCAAAGCACAACTGTGGAACCACTAAGGATTGCAAAAGATTTCTGATGAAATACAGGAAATTATTTCATTAATTATATATTTTTGTTAATGCGTCAATGTGTTCCTTCTATTTATGGATGGTGACACTGGTTTTTCCATTTACAGTAGCAACATAAAGTAACCTCTTCTAAAGCAGACATCTATAGTTTTAAGAACTCGGATGTACAAACGAAGATACAGACTCTGTGTGGGAATAATCAAAGAATTACTGAAGTGGTGAGGGAATAACCGATTTAGGAAACAATGGACTAGGAGCTCTCTGCAGCTGTTTCCAACTCCGTCCCCCGAGCGGCCCTGCCCAGGGACTTGGCAACAGTTATTAAAAGACTGGGTCCGGGTCTACCAGTCTGCAACTGCCCAGCTGTGTGACCTTGGGCACACACAGCCCTCTCTGAGGCCTTGTTAACTTCGCTAAATGGGAGTGACAGGCCCTGCTCCGCTACTCTTTGCCCCTCACAGCTCGAGAATGGGGGCGGAATCAGCCGGGCGGCCCCTTCGAGTCCATGACGCCGGCGGCTCCGCGCCGATGCCCTTCACATCACCTTGCTCGCGGGCCGCCACGACGACCGGAATCTTCCGCCCCGCACCCAGCCCAGTCGGCTTCGTGCCCCCTCCCTCGCCCTCCCCGCTCCCCGGCTCGGCTGCCCCCTCACCGGGCAGGCACCGTAGGTGCAGGAGCCTCCAGCCCGCCCGGCCGAGCGCGCCGGACATCGCCGCTGCCGCCATCTTGGAAGCGGGCACGCCTACGACTGTGACGCGACGGGCGGGGCTCGGCAAGGCCACTTCCGCCCTGCCGCGCTCCCGCAGCCTCCTCTTCTCGCGAGAGGCGCGAGGTGCGAAGCCGGCGGCACCGGAGAAGCCGGGAGCGAGCCCCGGGAGGCAGGTGAGTGCTGTGTGAGTGCGGCCCAGGAGCCCGATCTCCCCAACCGTCCCACCCTTGTCCCTAGAGCCTCTTGTTTTCTATTCCCAGTCTTGTCCCGCGGTGGGCACCGAACCGTGACCCTGGGGAGCACGGCGGGCTTTTGCCTGGGGAAGGCGGTGTAGGGGACCGGCCGGCCCTGCGTGTCCAGGGCTCCTGGCGCTGTGGCTTCTTGCGCTTCCCGGGCTGCTTCGTCTCCCACGCTGCCGGAATAGATCTGAAGCCCCGGAGACGGTTCGCTGAGGGGGTAGAGAGCCTTGATGACCGGGGTCTAAGATCCGCTTCTGCTTATAGCCAGCCGTTGTGACCTTGGGCCTCAACGAGGCCCTTGAGTTTATTGAGTCCCTTGTCTCAAACACTGGGGGAGCTGAAGTCTCGGTCTTTGGGGGTACCCGAACCCCCCCCAGATTGTAATTTTGAGCCAGTGACTTGCCAGAACCTCCAAAGTGTGGAGTTGGTGTTGTTAAATAACAAACATTTAACCGCGTAACTTTTAAAGATCTAGGTGGCTTTATTGAACTATTCATGAATTGGGCAGCATCCCATCTAAGTAGAGAGGAGGTCCAAAGAGCTACAGTGAAAAGGGTTTTTTTTAAAAGCAGAGGGGGTGAGACAGGGAAGTCATAAGGGGAGAAAAGGATTATTTCAGGCAAGGTCACCTTCCTTTGGGGGACAGATGGGGTCTGTTAGGCAGTTTACCTTACTAATGCTGACCAGAAGAGTCCAGACTGACCCCATAAGATTAAATTCCTGGAGAAGGTTGAAAGTGCAGTGAGGTTAGGTATTAGTTTCTGTTTGGTGATGAAGTGGGCTTAACACAAGTGACTCCATTTTGGACCTGTTTGCTTCTTTTAATAGTTTAATTGAAAATTTCCCGAACTTGCCAGATCAAAAGAACCATCTAGGATTTGTAGGTGATTTGTAGGATCTGAAGTTTGAGAAAGGCTGGTGTTCATTCTGACATTGAGTGCTAATCTCTGAGTGACTCAGGGAGGTCATGGACTAGGCACTAAACTGAAGTGTAAAGGCAGAGTGCCTCATTGTGATATCTGTCATCAGGGAAGACTTCATATTAATAGGGAGAACTAAGTGATTTTGGGATTAGGGATAACTGATGGCAGGAGCTAAGCATGTCATTCCGTAAATTTTGTGTTTGCAGTGAGACCCTTGTCTTTGTATCTGTTTTGCACAACCCTTATCAACTCTATAGCCTTTTCAAAACATCTTGCCCTCTCCTACCTCGGTGTGGGGGAAGCCCTCCTAAGCCAAAACTACTCCCCAAATGTTAAAATTCCAGATCCACATCTCTGGATTTCATTAAAACACTACTGATCTGTCCATGAGGTTTTGTTTTCTGAGTTCTGTCCACCCATCTTCAAATGAGCCTTTCGTGTGGAAATTCTAGGTCTAGGGTATCCTTCCTGAAACTCCCAATTCTTGACACACACACCTAATTGCCTGGAGACAGTCTTCCATTTCTTTACCTTTGAGTTTCTTGTTTCCTTGTTGACTATCACCTTTTTTCCTATGTGTGCGTGTGTGCTTGCTTCAGTCAGTTCATTACATTTAAAATTTCCCTTTCTGATAAGGGTCAGGATTCTCAGAATTTTTTTATGTACCTGACTCAAAAAGATTTGATCCTTGGTTTGAACTGATAACCAAACTTCAGTCTTTTTTTTTTTTTTTTAGTTTTGGCCCCCTTCATCCTTAAGAGGAGCCAGATGCCTCAAGATTTGATGTTTATTGGGTACCTTTGAAAAAAAAAGTGCATCTCCAGAAGTATTTGCAGACCTCTGCTTTCCCATGGGCGCGTGTGTACAGCAGTGAGCGTCAGCGAGGTGGTTGACAAACAAGGTCCATGACGTGACAATGACTTCTTCAACCCCACCTCTTTTTAGATATGAAACTAGGCTCTGAGTCACACTTCTGAGTATGTCAGCTCAGGCGCCAGACATTTTTTTCTTTCTAGTTTTTTAAAAAGACAGATTGCCAACAACATAAAACTCTGACGATGAACAGTATCATCCTTTGGCTTTTAGATACCTAGAAGAATGTCGTCTCCCATTTTATTTGGAAAATGCTGACCGAGAGTGGTGGCTTGTGTCTGTGTTTTGAGGGTTAATGTTTAATAAGTGCATTTTATGAGCTCCCTCTTGCCGGAGAAGATTAGTTTGGGGGGGATATGGAACACAAGTCATTTTACATTCTTTGAATGTACTGACACAGTCCCACGGGAGCAGTGTCTACGATGTCATAAAGTGCAGCTGTTGTACTGTGTAATTCTAACAATGAAAAGGAAGCTTCACATCTCTCCCTAGGGAGTCCTCAGCAGGCATGGCTGAGGAGAAAGAATATGTTTTATAGGGACTCTTTGAAGCAAAGGCAAATAAACTGGCCACCAAGAACTAAGAGTTCCCTTAGAACATTATTTCGTTGAGCACCGTGTGCCAGGCCCTGCTGAGTGCTTTGCATATTTTTATCTCCTCATTTACTTTTTTTTTTTTTTAAAGATTTTATTCATTTATTTGAGAGTGAGAATGAGATAGAGAGAGCATGAGAGTGGGGAGGGTCAGAGGGAGAAGCAGACTCCCCGCTGAGCAGGGAGCCCGATGTGGGACTCGATCCCGGGACTCCAGGATCATGACCTGAGCCGAAGGCAGTCGCTTAACCAACTGAGCCACCCAGGCGCCCTCCTCATTTACTTTTTACAGCAGCCTGGCAAAACATTATTATTCCTACTTCATTGATAAGAGAAGCGAGAGGCTTATAACTGACCCGTGGTCATGGAGCTCCTAAGTAGACAATCCAGTGGTAGACAGAACCCCAGTTCATCTGCGTGCATTAAAACTGCCTCCATTAAGGTTGCCAGAAAGGTCTAGACACCTGGCATTTTATTTTTCTCTGGCCTACAAGTAACCTTTTGCTCCTCCTTTCTTTCATGATGGTTTTTCTGTGAGTACAGTGCAAGGTTGTAGTTGGTGGTGGTGGGCAGGGAGCTTGTCCCTTTCTGTTGTCCCAGGGGAGAACCTCTGCCAGTATCGTTCTAGAAACAGGTCGTTTATTTCTTATAACTTAATGCCCAGCAATCCATATTCCTGTCTTCCCTGACTGGTTCTTAAATGGGACATTGATCCCAAGTTGCTTACCTTAAAGATTGGCGGGAGTTCTTCATCATAGGAGAGTTAAAAGCTTAAAAGTTTCAGTTCTTGATTGTGTGCTTTTTAAGGCTTTAAAAACAATGCAGTGACTAAGGAATCTTGCTTATCTGATAACACTTGGTATCTTTTCCCTGGGGCTTGCATTCAGGTTAGGATAATAAAGAGTGGGCATTCCACGCGGAAGCAAATAGATAGGGTGACTGGTTAAGCGTCTGCCTTCAGTTCAGGTCCTGATCCAGGGTCCTGGGATCGAGTCCCACGTCGGGCTCCCTGTTTGGGAGCCCGCTTCTCCCTCTGCCTCTGCCTCTCTCTCTGTCTCTCATGAATAAATAAAATCTTAAAAAAAAAAAAAAAAAAAGCAAATAGATCAAAGGCATGATTGAAGCAAAAATGCGGAGGTTTTTCATAGAACAAGGAGGGATTCACTTTGGAGAGGTGGGAGATACAGACGGAGCAGATCATGGAGGACCTGATTCCAGAAGAATGAGCTTTGGTTTCTCTCTAGAAAGGAAGCGTCTTTAGGAACTGGATGACAGAATCAAAGTACTGTGGTATTTAAGGATGGCTGGCTAATTTGGCTGTGTTTTTTAGGCAGAGGAGCCAGTCATTTGAAGTGAATATTTTTGAAGAAGGAAGGGGGTAACAGACATGGCTTAAATTCAGTCCCAGAGTGTCTATGGTGGCATCCTTGTGACCGAGTTAGCAACTTCTGCAGAAGAAAGCAGTGTTCAGCACGAGACTGAGCCATGCTTGACCCGTCTACCGTGGCTTCTGCCTTTATGCCATTTATTAGAGCTGTTTTAAGTCAGGAACTTGATGGCATTAATGTTGAAGAAAGAAAGGAAGAGCTAAGTAGAATGCTATCGCCTGACCTAACTGCATCATGAGCACATTCTATACTCCTCCCTGTCTCAAGTGGAAGAGAAAGTTGACCCATGGTGCTGGCGGTGGGCGGGGGATCTCCAGAGGTTAAAAGCATGGGCTTTACAGCCCCATGGATTTGGACTCAAATTCCAGGTCTTGCTCTATCCCACATTTACTAGCTATGTGACCCGGCAAAGTCAATGGCTTCGGTTTTCTGTCTGTAAAATGGGAATAATAACCGAGTTTAAGGTTGTGCCGAGGTTCAGCTGGGGTAATGTATGCAAGGTGCTTTGAACAGCCTGGGCAATAGTAAATGTGACAGAAGGTCATGGTAAGGACTATTGATCATTGCAGATTCAATGGGATTGAGTTTTCGTATTTTGCTGAAAGGGAAAATAATCATTATTCAACTGGCCAAATTTAAATATGTTGTCTCTTTTTTGAAAAAACATTAAGCTCGTTATGTCTGCCAGTTTATTTGCTGCCTTTGCTGAGTCATACTTTTGCCTAATTAATGTCCTGTATGTTTTATATTGTGCTCAAGCTGAGTTGTCCCAAATCAAAGCAGAAATAATCTTTGTGCCTTCAACCTCCTTACTTGACTGCCAAGTCCAGACTCTCATCAAGGAAGCAGCCTGCCTCATTTGGAAATGCTGGGGTTATGAATTCTTGAGATAATAATGGGTTCATATTTCAGTCTCTCTAGCGTCTACAGGAAGATGTTCTTATGTGGTCAGCATGCCGTGGTGGGAGGTGGGAATTAGGTGGTGATTCTAATCGAATTTGCTGGTACCTCAGGGATTGAATTGTGCTTTTGTCTCTGCTCAGT